TCATCTGTTGATGGAAATGTCTCTATCCTTGAGCACCATCCAATATTTGGTCTTTGATGAGGCCGATCGACTTTTCGAGATGGGATTTTCCAATCATCTCACGACCATCCTAGAGAAGCTGCCCACTAGCCGTCAAACATTGTTGTTTTCAGCGACTCTGCCAAAGAGTCTCGTAGAATTTGCCAAGGCTGGTCTCCAAGAACCGAAGCTCGTACGACTCGATAGCGAAATGAAAATAAGCAGCGACCTGCGAATGGCATTTTGGAGTGTCAAAGAGGGCGAGAAAGACGCTGCTCTACTCTGCTTATTGAAAGATGTCATAAGTGTCCCTTTAGCAGATACCGGACGTTCCAAAGGTCCTTCTGAAGGAGAATCATTTACGGGGACCAAAACCAAAAAAGCAAAAGGCAATTCCGGAGCTGGAGCTACCATCCTAAAACCACATCAAACTCTCGTTTTTGTCAGCACTCAACATCACGTCGCATATGTCTCCTCTCTTTTGCGACTCGCGGGTTACAGTGTTTCAAGCATCCATGGGACACTCACACAGGATGCCCGCACCTCCTCACTCTCCCAGTTCGTCAATAACCACACCTCGATCCTGGTCACTACCGATGTAGCTGCTCGTGGTATTGATATACCTGTTTTGGAAAATGTCGTAAATTACGACTTTCCTGTTGGTAATCGTGTATTCGTGCATCGAGTTGGTCGCACAGCCAGAATGGGACGAAAAGGTTGGGCTTGGAGCTTTGTAGGAAGAGATGAACTCCCCTACCTTCTGGATCTACACCTTTTCTTGGGAAGGCCACTTATCAACGAGTTATCACCCTCTACCTCTGATCCCGGAGGTGCCCCTGGTGAAGACGCGTTTGTGGACAGTCTGATTTTAGGACCATTTCCTCGAGACGCAATTGACCAAGAACTGGAATATATCAAGAATATCCACGAGACAAACTATGATCTAGTGAACCTCAAAGGCGTCATGGAACGTGGCACAAAGATGTACAATCGCACAAAGGGGAAGGCCTCGCCCATCAGTTACTCCAGGAGCAAGGATATGCTGTCCGATGCTCAATGGGGTTTTACTTATGAAGGAAAAGTTCATCCTGTATGGACCCTTCGAGTGGCTTCTGATAGAGTATTGGGACAGTCTCGTAGCAACATTCAACCTCAGCCATCCTCATCATCTACGCAGGTGACAAGGGAGTCATTACTTCAATCATTATCCCGCTTTCGACCATCCGAAACCGTTTTCGAGATCGGGAGCAGGGGAAAGACCGCAGGTGCACAA